TTTTGCCAGAATTAATATAAACAGACAAAAAATTGGTCCAAAAAGTTGTATTTAAAAGTCATTTTGTAATTTGTTTTTTGTTGTTTATATTTTACAATTAATTTTTCAAATCTACATAAAACCTATCAATAGTTACATAATATTTATATATTAATTGATATCACTTTTAAGGGACATATTTCTCGATCACAAACACAATACACAAAGAAATATAGTTTTGTTTTTCATTATAAATAAAAATAAAAAGAGTTAAAGAAATTAATTTAATTACAAATCATTTAATTTGTGATCAAAACAGTGTTTAAAACATTTTCAGTCGTAATATCGATATATAAGACACAAAAATAATTAAATTTAATACAAATGTCACTCAAAATAACCGATATTTTTGTAATAATAAAGTAATAATAATAATTAGAATAGTATTCATAGAAATTAAATTATAAAATACACATTTCGTGTCCGATTGTGTGGCAAAACCGTGAAAAACAACATTCACTTTAACCATAAATGGCCCAAACTATGGATAAAACAATACAAAATCATAATTAAAATCAAAGTAAAAAATACAAATCAATAATTAATCCGAAAAAAACATTAGTTATAAATGCATTCAAAGAGTTAACCAATAAATTCATTCAAAACAACCAATAGATTAGTTTATAATTAATAAAATGATTAGAAATAAATTAAGTCATTAAAAAAGTTATAAAACCAATTCATAACCCGATTATAAGACATTACAAGACATGACCACAAGTATTAGGATTAGTGGTTAATTACAATCACAGGCAATATGTTTAGTAACAATTAAAAAAGACAATCAATTAGTTATACAGTGTATAGGATTAGGCAAAACATGCATAAAATCCCAAGCAATAGATTAATAGGATTACGGATTAAAACATTAGAAAACATTCAAACAAAACGCGATAAAAAATGTTTAAAAATACCACAAAAATACACACAAAGAGATCAACTGTGGATCAGTTGGTGGCGGCGACTGGAAAATGGATGGGAAATAAAAAACATATAATTAAAAACAAAATTATAAGACAATTAAAAATTAAAAAATAATTATAATAATACATTTGTTCATGTTCATTTGATAGTTAAAAAGCATAACTTTGAATCCAATTTCCCGCAAAACACTAATACCCCGATAATATTCCCGGGAAAAGGATATGTCACTCAAAAATTAACACAAAAACACATTGTATTTGAAAAAAATGGTCAAAATTT